CTTAAACTTATTTCGGGATCAAATGAGTACATACTGTTTGATCAGTCCAGTTTAGTAACGGCCAACCAGACTGCTTTATAGTTGACTGAAAAAATAGGTGATCATTGACCTCATGAGACTGTTACCATTACTGCAATTATTGTCTTGTTCACTTCTTGTTAAATTTATGTGAAAGTAAATGTTGAAGACAGATTCACAATGAATTTAGTATCGTTTCTTAAATTTAAGTTTAGGTTTTAAATATTATATTAGTAGTTAAAAAAATTAAAATTTTTAAATACAACAACTTAATATAAGCAATTATGCTCCTAAAATTATTTGACTAAGAATTAACTTTAAAATACCTAAAAATTTATCTGAATATCCCCTGACTACCAAAAAAAAAAAGAAACTTAACTAACAGTTAGTGGGATAACTTTTTGGTCCCTTATTAATTTGTCATCAATTCCTAGTAATAGGAGGTCAAAAACCTTCATAAACCCAAATCCAAGGGTAGGCGGGTGAGGCGTCCACCACTTCACCCACCATGCCAGGGTTTAACACCCCCTTCCTCTATATATTTTCTAACCACTCTTGTTCAAAAAAAAAAAAAAGTCCACCATCAATTCTTACAAAATTTGCAGTTTATTCTACAATAAAATTGGTATAACATTGTCAAGTAAGTTCTACAATAAAAAATATAAAAATAAAATATATGTATCAAAAATTGTGTGAGGAAATAAGAGATAAAAATATCAATTTTATTCTCTTTTTATTATAATGTTAAAGGATAAAAATGCGAAAAAATAATCTTAAAAAATTCTAGTGAGAGGGAAAGTTTGGGAAATAAACATGCCCTTTATGGAAGGCCTACCAAATGCAGTGGTAGGTTTATGCCCGTCAATACCATCATGTCAACTTCACGTCTTATGAAATTAAGGTTTTGTATGAGAAAGTTGATCGTAATTATAATTGTAAGTATTTTTGAACTTTTAATATTTAAAAATATATAAAATGAATTTAATATGTGTTTTAATTATATATTTTAAAAATAATAAAAATATTTTAAAAAAACAAAAAAATAAAGCACCGCACAACGTCCAAACGAAGCCTCACTGATTTTAGCCTCCATGGAACAAACGGGGTATAATACAATAGCTTAGAAAATAAGTTTGAGGACTGGATTGAGAAAACAAAATAAGTTTATAGGCTAACTTGGGTTTATTCCCCCTACTTTTTCTGAATTTCCATTATTTTTTTCATTAATTATTCATTATTGGGCAGGTGGGTGATGCAGCAGAAATTCAGACCCCATGAAAGACAATGAAAATGGAAAAGAAGAGAAGTGGGGTTTGAGTTTGACACGTCGGTGGTAGGTGGGGAGGGAAGGAGGAGGAGGAGGAGGAGAATTAGAAATGGGGAGTCCATATCTTGTTACAGCAGAAAGTTTATTTCCACCTACCTTGTCGACTTTTATAATTAATTTGTTTATATCAGTAATACTTTCTTTTATATTAAATGATTAGCTAATACATACGAAATAATCTTTCCTTTTTCTTAACTCTTTTTTGTCCGTCTTAATGATTCAACCATAGGGTTTTTAATCACTTCAAATTAGGAAAACTTTTCGGTTGTAGTGTTGAGAAAAATGCCTTTTTGAGGATGAGGTTTTGAGTTTAAATTTTAATGTTTGCAAGTTTAATCCAATTTTATGTTAGGTTTCTTTGCAAAATAAATGTTAATTAATTTGTTACTCGTTTGATTTTCAAGATATAGTAGAATAGAAAACAGGCCAACTTCATTGAATCGAGCTCAACTGTTCAACTAATAAATCTGCAGGTAGAGAAAATCACAAAATCATAATTTCATATGATTCCTTCAGCTTCAAGGTAATGAGGATTTTAATTGTAAGTGCCTTTATATATGCAGTCTTAATTAATCAAGTTATTTTTAAACACTTGCTATCTTCATTCCCCCACAAACAGGGGCATCCATGGAAAAACCAGTAACACAATCTGTACAGTTTACACAAACACAAATGCCTACATGGTGATTGCAAGGGAGAAACTTCCTTAATGTTGCATTCTTTACAATGCCCATCTGCTTAATTGAGGTATACCATATCCTAACTTATAAAGCATACAAAATTTAGTAAGTGCATAATTGAAAGTTTGCAACCTATTCAAAAAAGCAAAAAGGAAGGAGGACCTCAAGTGACATAAAAATTTAGAATTTAGATCTCTCAAAAAAAAAAAAAAAGAAGAAGCAATAATGAAGTAAATAGATATTCTCATTCTCAGTTCCAGTTACATACATTGATATACTATCCCCATAGTTATCATAAAATTTTAAATGTTGTAGGTTGATTATTATTTAGGGTGTCACAATATACATTTTTAATGTTTTTATTAATGTATTAATTTTAATTTTTTTTAAATATTAAAGAAAATTAAGATATCCTATCAATAAAAATATCAATAATGATAAAAAAAATTAAATATTTTTAACAAATTAATATTATTAAATATATTTAAATAATTTTATAAATAATCATAATAATTTAAATGTTAAGATATCATGATTTTTACTTTTTTCTATAAAAAAATTATAGTATTTATTTTGATAAAATAATAATTTAAGTGAAGACTTTTTTTTTTTTTTTAACATTGTGAATAAAACTCAAATCTCACATTCTTAAATATGATTTTTTTTTTCAAATCATTAATAAAAATCAAACTTTCAATCCATTACACCTAAATACTTAAAACTTGTAAACCATACGTCTGGTACGAAGGTGCGGTTCTAAGCAAAGACTTGTTTTTTTTTTTTTGAACATAAGCAAAGACTTGTTTAGTTTAACCTTACTGTAATGTTTTAATTTAATCAAACAAAATTAATTTACTATATTTAACCGATTCAGATCACGGCCTTCTCCCCATGAAAATCGAACGACTGGTAACGTGATCCTACGAAGCTAGATCCAGGAACCCTCCGCAGCTAATCAGAGATATTAGGCCCTCCTCCAATGGCCCATTACGTGACACGTGTAATCTTCCCTTCCACAAACCGGAAAATTCCACCGGTGTGGCTCACACGGCGCGAAGCCCAAAATTCCGTGTTTCAGACATAATTTCCAAACATAGCCACTTCCCCCAATATCGTACATTATCCCGGCGAGTTCGGCACTGCTGTTTTTTTAGTCCTCCATGTTTCGCTTTAAATTCACATCCTTTTCCAAATCTTATCTTCAAAATTATTATTCTACTTGATCCGAGAAACTAACGGAAAATTTAGCGATCGGGTAACCCAGGACAGCGAAAAAATGCATTCGCTGAGCCTTAAGCTTTTCGCCGATTTCAATGCCGGCGCGCCATGTTGCTTCCGAGGCCGGGATGGTTACCGGTGTCGGAATTTAGACGCCGGGAGGAGGCAGATCGGTTTTGGGTGTTGGAATCCGTCTAGGAAGTATAAGGTCCTTGCGTGTGCGTTGGAGAGGAATGGTAATGGCGGGGAGAGTTCGAGTTTGAATCCGACGCCGATTCCGATTTCCAGTTCGTCGTTTCTGTCCCGGAGCCAAACTTATGCCTTGTTGAAGCAGCAAATGGAGGTCGCCGCCAAATCTGAGGTTCGACCTCCTCCCCCGGTTTTTCTATTCTTTGTTTGATGATCGAAAATGTCTGTGTGCAACTGATAGAGCGTTGACATCTAAAATTTGTTCTGTTTCAGGATTACGAAGAGGCTGCGAGAATACGGGACTCCTTGAAGATGTTTGAAGATGAGGAGCCAGTTTTAAGACTTAGGAGGTTAATCAAAGAAGCTGTTTCTGAAGAGAGGTTTGAGGTGGGTTCTGAATTCCTGAAACTTTTAATTTCAGCTTTTTTTCCTTCCTTTATTTAGATTCATCATGCTACTTAAATATGAAGGCTGGAAATGTTTGATGTTATGCTAGTTCTTTCTGAATTTACTAGCTTAATTTAAATTTTTTAGCTTAGGTCCAATGTAGGGGAACTAAATAATTGACATCTGTTGCTCAAGGATATGGATGGGTTGCATCAATGGGGTTTGTCCATAAAATTCATTTGAAACTTACCTAGAAGTTTAAGTGTTCAGATTGAAAGGTTATTGACAAGACAGGAATCTAAGTGATCCGGATTTTGAATACTCTTTCTATTTGATTGGTAATTAAATTATAGTATAAATTGATACCTTGAGCCCAATAGGCTTGAACTTTTTCTCTTTAACATGTTACGTAAAATTGGAGGAAAGGAGGAGTTGGAGGGAGGAAGATCAAAAATGTTGCTGGATAAAACTATTTTGAGGCTCTATCATCTTAGAACCAAAGCTTTGAGATGAGATGTGGGATTTATTCACTCACTTAAGGCTTCTTGATTCCTGCTAAACCATACCGTTTTTTATCACACAGGATACAGGCCATGGTTAATTCTTTTCCAACTTAGTGTATCATAATTTCTTACTTCATTAATTTTGAGTTATGAAGAATAGTACAGTAACTATTGTCTCTGTTTCCTTTTTGTTTTTTTGTTACTTTATTGGAAAGATGACATGATTGCTTTGTGGCTTTAACTTTTCATGTCAAATTATTTCCCCATGACATGTTACATGGCACATATACGGATATACCTGTTAAGTAGTGGAATTTGTTGGCTTTGTGCCCTTTTTCATTAATCTTTGGTATTTTTTTTATCAGGATGCAGTTAAATATCGTGATGAGTTGAAGGAAATTGCACCGCATAGTCTCCTAAAGTGTTCAAGTGATGCAACAACTTTGGTATGAGCCCAATATGATTATATGCAGATATAATTGCTTGATTTAGAAGGATTAGTTTCAACACATTTTTCTCCTGGTGAACTACAGTACGTTCATGTCGATTTTTTTTTTTTTCTGTGGATTTGTTTAAGTTTTTATAAGGTGTGTATAATATAAACTGTATGTTAATGCTTAATATGGAACTCCACTCCTGTTTGAATAGATACTTTGCATCAGTTTAGAATGTCTTTGGCGAAGGTGTGCCATTTTGTCAAAAGGTAAAACTATAGTTGTTCCCAAGAATCCAAACTTTAGTATGCGAAACAATGGGAAAATAAGATGGCTTCTTCAATAATCTCTTTCCAAAATGATCAGCTTCTTTTTCCAGTTCCCAGTACGGTCCATCTTTAGTAATTTTGTGAATAAAACTTATTTTGTGTACAAATATATTTACCCATGCAAGCCTTTCAAGTTGTTATCATTCATTGCCTGGATTACTTATTAGGAGAGATTCACCATCACTTTGATTGATCTGTGCATGAATATGTTTATATGCACATTCAAATTCAAGGCCAACACTGAACAATGTAAAGCTGATTTGTGAAGATGAAATTTAAAGTAAAAAGACACAGACACCTTGATTTGGATTAATCCAATTCAAACTTTCTATTTTTTCAGGGAATCCGGGTTCAAGTTAGGAGTGTGTACATAGAGGGGCGAAGTCAGCCTTCAAGGGGACAATACTTTTTTGCATATAGAATACGAATAACCAATAACTCAGATCGCTCTGTTCAACTTCTTAAGAGACATTGGATTATCACAGATGCCAATGGAAAAACTGAAAATGTGTGGTGAGTTAACTGTACTTTCCTAAATGCTAAGTTTGGGTTATCTCTTTAAGATAGTTTTGTTTCAGTTTTACCTTTTAACTGTTCCATGAACATTGGATGCACTTCTTTTCCTCTGCATTTACCTTCATCATTGAAGTTTGAACATGTATATCTATCATACTGCAGGGGGGTTGGAGTTATAGGTGAACAGCCGGTAATTCTTCCAAGAACCAGTTTTGAATACTCATCTGCATGCCCATTAGGCACTCCCAATGGCAGAATGGTAAGAAGAGTGCTTTTGCAGCTTCTTTCTTGGAAAGTTGTTAAATTTTCTTCTTCATGTTATTTTTTTGTAACAATATCAGTAAAAATCGTTTCTAGATGATTTTTAGAATTTCATGCTTGAAATTACAATAATTTCAATTACAGTGTCATCACATTAAAGGTTTCCCAATGTTCTGTATCCTTTCAGAGGTTTTTGATCTATCATATAATCAAATACTGGTCTATTTAACTTTATACCTATGAATTCTAAGGTTTAGTTAAGAAAACTAGCCATAATAGGTAATCTTATGGACAGCAGTAAGGCGAATTCCCCTTGCAATTTGCCTGTTGAAAGTAAGTCAAGGTCGCTTCATAGTCCAGTCTGAATTTCTCCTAAGCTCTCTTTAAAGGTCCTGTGTCTTATATACTTCCTGCAAACTGATGAAAGATCTAGGTTGGAGACTGGGCCTTCAATCTTATTATTCTTTTTGGTTTTTATTTCCATTCTACACATGCAATTCCTGAACATTAGAACCATTTTATTTAAGAAGCATTTCAAGTTGTTCTGATTCTCCAGTTTCATTGCAATCCAGGAAGGCGACTTTGAGATGAAACACATCGACCAAATTGGTTCACCGACTTTCAATGTGGCTATTGCCCCATTTTCACTCTCTACCCTAGGAGATGATGGAGATAGCTTCTGAATGTAGAATTACATCATCAATTTGCAGAAGCAGATTAGCCGTATCCATCTATTGAATTGACATATCACTGAAATGAAGATTTACTTTGTAAAGTTTTAGTCTTTTGTCATGTAAGTGTGAAGATCTCCATTGCTAGAGAATATAGGTTTATGTCACAGTCAAATGTTTGTCGGGACAGACAAGTTTTTAAAATGTCTGTAGCAAACTTAAAAAGAGATGCTTTGATGTATATGTATAATGTTTTGTAATGAATGAAATCATTTTAACCCGTTGATGGGATGAAACTTTTATTAGCCTGGGATTTGCTTCTCTAGACATGGTCTTGCTTACTAGTGTGTGAGAGAGTTGGATCGTGATTACTAATATTATTTTGCGGAGCTTATAGGCAAGTGATGCTGTGAAGGCATCCATTTTGATCCTGACCTCCCCACTCCTTATGGGTTACCTCTGGAGAAAAATACTTTTTGTGTTCAAGGAAGCAGTGGCTTGTAGTAGCTGAATTTGCTTTGTGGCTCAATCGGCCAATCAAGCACTTCAAGGTACGTGCCTGAACTTCTTTGAATACCCCTTTGAATTTTATTGTGATTATTATTATTAAATGGAGTTCTGTTTGTTCAGGGTTAGTGGTTGAGATGAGCAAGAGGCAACTTCTTGTCAGTTAAATCTTAAATGTGTTGTCTCTTTGTATTTCTAATGTTTAAAACTTTAAATGCATGTGCCTAACTGCATATTCACCTATACTGCATTGAGTTTCCTTAGTAGACATTGCACCTAAAACATGTAAGCAGTTGTCCTACCTTATTCAAGCTCGTGACCTTTATACCCCAAAACATGCATGATCCATTTGATGCCTCACCTCTCTCCGCCCTTGCAATTATCCTTGAATCTAGCTGGTGGGTCAAGATCGCTTCACCAAACAATCACTAAAAATGGAAGGTATATATCTCTCCCTCCAAATGAATTATGAGTTCCTTTTCTTCTCTAGACAATAAATTAAAATGGCTGTTTTCAATCGTCAACAGCACCGTTTTCTGAAATGTCTTTTGATTTCAAAACAAAACATTTAATTCAAATTCCCTTTGAAACTGTTTCAAAAGAAAAACAGAAAGTTGTATGAAAACAAAATGATACTTTATAGCATTTGAACCATATCTGATAGGATAACATTATCTCTGTTCTGCTTAATTGCTTTGAGATCCTATGAAATTAGTAGAGAAGAATTAGTTTTTTTTTTTTTTTTTTTTTTTTGTTGATACATTTGATTATGGGCTATACAAAAAGGGATAGCTCTCTCTTATTTTCGAATCTTTTTCCACCCGACTCAAAACTCGAACTTAAGATCTTCAACTCTTAACCATTGAATCATCCCATTGAGATTAGAAGAATTAGTTATAAATGTAGTTTAAGATGAACAAGTGAGGATGCAAAATAGGTGAATGGTTTTTGGTCAGATTATACTTTAAGAAAAAGTCTTCATGTATGTTTTAAGTATAAACACAATCGATCCCTTTAACCGATTAATGTAAGCAAAATCACATGTTTATTAGTATTGAGATTCTTAGTTGGAGTTTAATTTCATGGAAAAGAATCTGAAAATAGAGAAACCATTTCATACTGTAAAGAAAAATCAAACAGTTATTCATTGGTCGAAACCCAATTTTGTGGTCCATTTGTAACAAAATTTCAAAGTTGTCGAATCTGAAGGTAACTTAGTGTATTTGCCTTCGTAACTTGGCCGCCACGTTTGTCTTCACCCCCGGAAATGTCACCGTCCCTTCCTGTTTCACCACCTGTCTCGCAACCATCTTCTGAAGAGAACGTAATTGCTCTGCCGTCTTTCTGTGTCACCTTCACCCTTTTTACGTTCGACAATCAACGTTCATTGGCTTTAAATGTCAAGATTAATCCGATCCTGCCGACCCCCCTCAATTGTCACCTTTTACATTATGCTTTCTTTTTCCTTGGCTTTCTTTTGTTTCTATTGATGAAATTGATTCAATTGAAAGCTACTTCAATCGGAGGAAAGAAAGCCGATGAACGCGGTGTTTTTTTGTGACTTGAAATTGAGCTATCAATTTTTTTTTCCAATTTTTTTGTGTGTTTTTTAACTTTTATTTATATAAAAAGGTATATTATACTATTTGAATTTATGAATTGTACAAAATGTTATCCATTAGAAAAGACAATTTTCTTCACATTAGTGGTTATGTTCTATATAATTATTTTCATTTTATAGTTTATCTAATAAAATAAGAAAACTTTTAAATATTATTATATATGTATTGAATCAAAAATTTTAGTTCAAAAAATTAGAGATGAAATTATTATCCACTTATTATATACTTGATGAATTATCAAAGTATATATATTAATTGAGTTAATCCTTAAAAACTTAAAAATTTTAA